TCAATCACAAGAATCATATTTAACAAATGAATTCAAACTAGCTCCATTTACACTTCAAGAGTTAGGGTAAATTTCTACATTCAAGATAGCTGACAAAGAAGGCTTGAAGATTAGCCCTATCAATGAGAAATTTCTAAAGAGCTTCTACACCTAAAAGAAAGCATCACTCCTTTACACATGAGCCTAAACTGCATGTTACTTCTAACCTACATGAGTTAAAACTATGCACGGCTCAACTGAAAAAAATTGTTGTTCTTAGCCCGCATAAGTTAAAACTGTGTACAGCTTGACCAAAAATAAAGGTCTATCAGCTCCTTGACGCACAAGCCTAAATTGCATATTACTCCTACCCCACATGAGTTAAAACTGTGCACGGCTTAACCAAAAAAAAAAATTTCCTCCTAGCCCACATGAGTTAAAACTGTGTATGGCTTAACATAACCAAAAAAAAATCTATTTTTGCTCTTTGTTCTCATCAACCAAAATTATGAAGAGTCCAATCAAAAGAACAAAAGAAGAAGAACTTCAAGTTGTCAGTGGAGCTTTATCAAATATCAAATTCCCCGACTTGCTAGTTGGCAAAGGTCTTACACTTGATGACAATTAGATGAAGAAGTACATCACTCTATCAACGGAGCAACAACGGACAACCATATTGATCCTTTAATTTTCAGTGTCTTGGAAGTTGTAAAATGCTCTCAAATTGCTATAGGGATTGATCATAAGAGACTAGTTAAGGGCTCAAAACTTCTGTTTATCTGATTCTACAATCCACCTATTGGGAGAAGTCACTCAAGGCTATCACGGAAGTCACCTAAGGCTATCGCAGAAGTCATGTAAGGTTGTCGCAAAAGTCGCCTAAGACTGTCGCAGAAGTCACTTAAGGCTGACACATAAATCACTTAAGGCTGACACATAAGTCACATAAGGCTGCCATAAAAGTAACTTTAAGGTTGTCATAGAAGTAACTTTAAGGCTAACACAGAGTCATTTAAGGCTACTACAGAAGTCACTTAAAGTTGACTTCAAAGTCAACAACTATCAACACAAAATTCATCCAAATTTAACCCAAAAGTCAACAACTCTTGTCATAGAAGTCATCCAAAGTTGACACAAAAGTCAACAACCCTTGACATAGAAGTTAACAACTCTTGACATAGAAGTTACCTAAAGCTGACACAAAAGTCAATAGCCCTTGACACACAAGTCACCAACTCTTGACATAGATGTCACTTAAAGTTGACACAGAAGTCACCTAAAGTTGATACAAAAGTCAACAACCATTGACATAGAAGTCATCAACTCTTGGCACAGAAGTTACCCAAAGTTGACACAAAAGTCAACAACTCTTGACACAAAAGTCACCAACTCTTGATACCGAAGTCACTTAAATTTGACATATAAGTCATCGAATCTTGACACATAAGTTATACAAATTTGATACAAAAGTCAACAACTCTTGACACAAGAGTCACCAACTCTTGGAACATAAGTTACTTCAAATTGATATGGAAGTCACCTAAATGTGACACGAAAGTCACCCAAAGTTGGCATAGAAGTCACCAACTCATGGAAATAGAAGTCACCTTTGACACAAAAGTAGCTCAAAGTTGACACAAAAGCCACCTAAAGTTGACAAAGAGGCCACCCAAAATTAGCACAGAAACCATTAATTCATGCAAAAGTAGCAACACAACCTCACTTCACGTCACCATAGTGAAGCAGGTCCTTTAGACTATTGGATTGTTGGTCTTGTTGTCTACTATTGCCAGATGCTATAAATTGCTTTCAAGCTATTGCAAGGACTGGTCATAAGCTTAAGAACTGTCACTTCTTCAATTCTATAGTACATCCTATCAAAGAAGGGATACCAACTGGCATGTAGAGATATAAAGTTTTCTGATACTTTGAAACTCCTACAAGGATTGATAATGGCTTAAAAACTACTGGGGTCATTTGATTTTTCAATTCGCCACGTTATGAGGTCTACTTATTGCAAGAAAGGAATCTAGTGGTGTACGCTACTTTCAATCTGCCTCAAGGATTGATCATAGGCTCAAAAACTACTAGGTCCTTTGATTCTTCAATCCGCCACGTCCCAAGGTCCACTTATTGCAAGAAAAGAATATGATGATATAGGCTACTTTCAAACTGCTGCAAGGATTGATCATGGGCTCGAAAATTGTTAGGTTCGTTGATTCTTCAATCTGCCATGTCACAAGGTCTACTTACTACAAGGAATCCAGTAATGTAGGCTACTTTCAACCTACCTCAAGGATTGATCATGGGCTCGAAAACTGCTAGGTCCTTTGATTATTCAATCCACCACGACACAAGGTTCACTTACTGTAAGAAAGGAATCTAGAGGTGTAGGCTACTTGCTATCTGCCTCAAGGATTGATCGTGGGCTCGAAAAATGCTGGGTGTTTTGATTCTTCAATTCACCACGTCACAAGATCCACTTACTGCAAAAGAGAGAGAAAGAGAGAGAGAGAGAGAGAGAAAACTGATGATATAAACTACTTTCAAACTGCCGCAAAAATTGATCATGGGCTACTTTCAAGCTGCTATATGAATTGATAATAAGGTCAAGCACCATTGGGTTCTTCAATTCTTCATTCCACCCCGTCATGAGGAGATTTTCACTGATTGCAAAAATATAACCTTCAATTCTTGAGGCTGCTTTCAAAACTGCTTCATGAACTAAAGTCTTTGGAATTTACAATCTACCCTTCTCGAGGTGCGCTTGATCTTTGAAATCTTCAAAGTATTCATTGATCTAACTTTTGAAAATGAAGTCATCTAAAAAGTCAAGAAAAAAGTGAAAAGAAGTAATTTAAATATAAGAAAATATAGAAGTTGAACAATAAATAAACAAATGAAAACTAAATAATAATAAACAAAAAAAATAATAAAAAAATAAAACAAAATTTTTAATACAAAATTACCTGGGATCAAATTTTTAGGGAAATCACCTAAAATAAAATTCTTAACACAAAGTCAACTACATGTCAAGATCTTGTAACAAAGTTTTTTGAGATAAGATTCTTTTAAAAAAGGGGGCAATCTTGATAATAATATCATGAGAAAATTTACAAGCTTGAAAATTGTATCCCACTAGAAAAGGAAAGAAAAAAAATACTTGCGACCAAATTCTTGAAAAGCAAATCCACTTAAAATAAAATTTTCAAATAAATCTCTTAGTGTCAAGACAAAATCAATCTATTCATGGTCTTAAAAAAAATACCTGAAAATGAGTCACCTAACATAAAATTCTTAGGACAAAACTTCATAGGAAGGGTTAACGAAAATGAGACTTTAGGACAAAGACAACCTAATTAAATTTTTTAAGATAAAATTATCTTGATTAAAATCTGAAATAAATTAAACAAAACAAATTGTGGTCAAGAACTTATCTTGATAAAAAAAATTAAGAAACATGTTGTGACCGAAAATAAGATAAAAAGAAGATTGATTGAATGGAATACAAGTTATTTACAATTAAAGAAAGGGTGAAAAAATGTGCTAAAAAATTTAAAAAAAAAAAGAGAAATAGTATGGCCAATCACATTGATAAAAAAACATAGGTACTACCCAAAGAATGCCAAAGCATGAAACAAACAAAAAACAAAAAGTTCCTGGAGAGTGCTTGCAGTAAAAGGAAGGCGATCAAACTATAAGATGACCCAAAAATAAATAAACAAATAAAACAATAAACACAAAAAAAAATTTAAATAAAAAATAAAAAAAGATCAAAAGAAGACATGATTATCACAGATCCAAATCCTCTCCATTACCCCTTCCCTTCAATTTCACTCGATACACAACTAGACGAATAACACCTGTCTAAATTTAATCCAACGGTCTAATTTTTTGCAAAACAACCACGTTGCTTAAACCATAGTTAATTGTAAAGCTGGATACATTCATTGAGAAAATTTACTATACAAGTTAAATTGCACTGCTTTTTTTTTAAAGAAAGAGAGAAATTTAATAGATTTAAACCAAAGAATTACAACCAGGGCACCAAAAACCAATCGAGTGATTCCACATGATTCATGCAACATATTTCTTGGTTACATGATTCATGCAGCAGATTTAAACCAAAGAATTACAACCAGGGCACCAAAGAATTACAAAAAATACCCATCACAGTAGCACAATAACGTTAACTGCATAACATTTTATGATATAATATATGGCAAAATAATTTGTTATAAGCTGAAACAATATGGAGCTAACTAATAATTCACCCTTCTTTCATCATGATTCATGCAACATATTTCTTGGTTCATTTTAATCAAGTTGTTCGGTGTCAATTTTTATATACAGGTAGATTTGTTTGGACAACTCTATTGACCATAAGGTGTTTGTCAAAAGTCTTGAATGAAAGTTATAAATTGAAACTAAGCATTACAAGCAAATTTTTACAAAAAATCAAACATTACAAAGTTTGAAATACACTCAAGGCTTTAATCCTTCAAAACTCCTCAAAAAATCTTACAACTCTTCCTAGGATTCAAGCACCCTACCCAAAAATAGGACATTAAGGAGGCAGTATACCACTGTACAAGATCATCCTCCCAACAGATGGAGCATAAGGTTCAAAAACCCAATGAAGATCTTCAATCTTGAACCAGTCAGCAAATAAAAAAACTACACAACCTGTGGCCATCAGCTAAGCACAAAGCAACCCAAATCATCAATGATCATCAAAAACAACCACATTTCTGATTCTCAACACCGGCAAACACATCTGATCTTCTATTATTAGCAAAATAACAGCAGCAAGCACCTGACTAGATCCAGAAAAATTGGAGGAAAAACCATTTTGCACTGCCTGATTAGCCAAGGCATCGCAACAGACATATAATCCCTTTTTTTTTGCTAATACAACAGTAGTCGAACTTGGAATATGGGATAAGAAATAAAATCAAGCTACATAAAAAAAAACAAATTATACCTTCCAAACATTGATGCCCCATTGGTATATTGAGAACACTCTTCCAAAAAGTATTAGCGAAGTAGTCTTTGAACAAAATATTGTGACTTTCTTGTGAACTCTGCACTTTGAAACCTGTATCCATTGTCTGCAAAATAAAAGAAAAAGTTAGTCTTTGTAGTGCATATTGAAAATGCACAATATAGAGGTATTTAATCAAATAGATACTAACTCTCATTAGCTAAGACAAGTCTCCTTGAGGCAATACTTGAGATTGTTGAGACATACACCAAGAATTATAACCCGGTACCTCTAGTCCCTAGCATTTTGAAAAACGTTAGACTATGAAATTGTAACACCCCGCATTTTCTTTTACATATGTATATAGATATATAGTAAATAATTGTGGTAAAAATATGGATATGTGTAGTGATGTGTGTTTGAATTTGATAGATTAGAATAGTAGAGATTTAAAATGTTAGTGAAAATAATAGTTGAAATTTGGTTTTAATAAGTGAAAATATGAAATTTTAGGTCCTAGAACTTGTATTAAATAGGTTTGGTGTAGAAATATGTGTTGGAGAGGTTTGGGATGGATTTGGTTGGCTTAGGAATGGATTGGAAATGAAAAAGGGATGAAACAGTGCACTGACTGCAACTTCAAGCGCGATTTCGACCTTGATGTCGTCAATATCTCCCAAAGTGCAAAAAATGAAAGTTGTAGAGATCTTTCTTAGAATTCCATATCATCTTGAATCATCTCAATCGGATGACGGATGAGAGATTTATGCCTAGATAACAAAGTGATGTCAAAACAGCTCAATTAGCTTGAACAGTGCAATGGCTGCAACTTCAAGCCCGATTTAGACCTCGATGAAATCAATATCTCTTAAAACTCAAAACTTAAAAGTTTTATATCTCTTTATTATCATTCCATAGCATCTTGAATCATCATAATCGGAGCTCGGATGAGAGAATTATGCCCAGATAACAAAGCAATGTCAAAATAGTCCAATTAACTTCGTTTTGCATTTAACGTCTCCATTTGCATCCTAAATCAAAATATAAGAATAATGAGTACATTTAGACTTCAAGTAAGTATAAAAGGCTTTAAGAAGCACCCTTTATCACCTTTTATTGTCAAACATCCCAAAACTTCATTAATAGTTAATTCGGATGGGAAAAATAGAAACTTTAGTGTTTCGGGTGTATGTTGACTTGGGTTTTGAAATAAATCATAAAAATAAATATTTTTAGGTTAAAATAACATTAAAAATGAATTCGGAACGTCGAAAAACCTTAGGATAGTCATATGAATCAAATTGCAGATTCTTAGTGGCAAAACCGTAATTTTAGAGAAAACCAAAACAGACTGTGAACAGTGAATTTCGGAGGTGAGGTGTTTTAAACCTCATTTTCATCCCATTTTCCTCATTTATTTCACTCCACTCTCACCCCCACACCTCTTGGAACCCTAGAGAGCATTAGAGAGGAAGAAAGGAAGGAAAAAATAAGAGATTTAAGGGTAGATTCAAGATCAAAGCTCAAGTTCTTCCTACAAACTAAGGATTCAAGACAAGGGGTTTTCTCTTTTTCACTTACATTGAGGCTAGGGTATTTATATATGCATGTTTTGGCTATCAATGGTATATATATATGCTATGAAATCATCCTCTTTTAGGCTTTTTGCAAGGATTACATGTTTTGAACAAAGTGGGGTTTAATACCCATGAAATCTCCTTTCCAGTTTTAAAACTCTAATTTTTTGAGAGTGATGTATTTCCTTCCTAAATGCTTTCTTTATTATGGATTTCGAAACCTTAGTGCTTTGTGTTGGGTAGAAAATTGATGTTATTATGATCTCATGTATTTTCTTAGTTGGTTGTGGAATTATTACATGATCTAGTTTAGAGATTTTGGATAGATGCTTGTAAATTGAGATAAATGTTGGAATTGTATGCTTGGTTGGGTTGTTTGTGATGCACATGAGTTAGAGGTTCCTTGTAAGGATGCTCACCCCTTCTCAAGAGGTTCCCGGTAAGGATGCTTGGAAAATAATGTAATGATTGGTGAGAGGTTCCATGTAAGAATGCTCATCCATTCTCAAGAGGTTTCTGGTAAGGATGCTTGAGAATCAAAGGTAACCTAAAGGGGGGTGGAGGTTACCACAAAGTATGTCACCTACCAAAAGTAATGTTGGGAATTGGTTATACCAATTAATGGTTATTATTTGTATGTGGTGCTCGTTTATTCATTTAAGTAATGTTTTTAAATAAACTTGAGATCCTTTTTAAATGTCACTGCTTTATTTCAAATTATGTATCTATGTTATGTTAAAATTGAGACCGACCGTTTTAAATGCTTTTCTAAACCTTGTATGGGTTTGGGAGAATTTTTCTACAGAGCTTCGTGCTCACCCCTTATCGCTAACATTTTTCAAATTACCCGCTTGAGGAAGAAGACGTAAGGGTCGAGGAGCCCGCTACCTTGGAGACTCTACTAGACGGGAGTGTGGATCCCGAGGTGGACGCATAGAGTGACCTCCTTTCCTTTTGTACTAGACTAGGACATTCTTTTGGAACATTGTGTAATCTAGCTTCTTTTTTTTATTTCACTGCACTGCTTTAATTAATTTTTGAGATGTAATAGTCATGAATTGAGTTTATTCTTTTGGATAATATTGTAAATATTCATGGATGACAAATGAAGTCTTGTTTCTTAAGGGATTATATTAGTATTCTCATGATATGAATGATTTTAGAATGTAATGCCGCTCAAGGTGTGTTTTGGGGTGTTATAGAAACTGACTTAAAAAATTAAATAAGATAAAATAAAATTACCAACTGGACATGAGTCGGAGCGGGTTGCATTGATGAAGCCTTCTTTTTACTTTTTGAAGCCTTTTCCAAGGAACTTTTTAGTCGAGTGTTACCACAATGTTTTGGATCCTTTCTCTTTAAACCAACCACCTTTGTAACATTTGAATTGTCAACAAAGACTTTTGCACCATTATTATTTAGTGAATCATCAAATCTGGTCGATGAAGTTACTTGAGCTTCGCATCTTGCCTTTGTGACATCTTTGAGCTTTGCAATTATCTCATTAACGCACTCCACAACCACTTCATATCCTTCTCTAGATTCTGAAGCTTCATTTGAAATTCAAACAAAAGTCGGACATAAATGTCTATACCTTTTGGTGGCTTCCAAGACTGGATCATCTTCCTTGTCTTTGGTTATTTCAATTGGATTTATAACAGTAGCAACCTTTGTCCATCTTTTCAAGATGTAATGGCTTGGGATAGTCTCTTTTATATTCATAACATCAAATATTTTTAAGGCATGCCTGCAAAGTATCCCAAAATATTCAAATAATTTGCAACTACAAGAAAACATTATTTCTAATGGGTATGAAATAATCATATGCTACTGAGTACTTCCGCAGACTCCAACCTTGTATATGCGATACATTTCATCTTCACTACAATCCTTAATCGTAACAAGCAATGACTTCTCCCATTGATATTGAAACATATCAAATATAGCAGATGTATAAATATCCCTTGCATGCCTTAATAATGGAAATTCAATCTTCAATATTGGGAGTCGTTGTGTCATGTCAAAAAGAGCATTCAACTCATTGTATCATTTATCATCAACTGCCCTTTCAAAGTGCTTAAAAAATTGCACTAAATCCAAATCAAATTTTAAGTATCCCTTAAGAGACCCATTGAAACTCTCACTCAGTTGGGTACTTCTTATACTGACTGAAAACCAGTTTCTTCCATATGAAATGGACCATTTCTCTCTCAAATCAAATGTCTTCTTTAACCATTCATTTTCCCTGAGATTATACTTCGCAAGCATAGCATCCCAAGCATTCACAAATTCCTGCTCATCCTCGTAGTGGTGAAAAAGCTTACCAAAATCACTGCTAAATGAATCATGACCTCTAAAGGCATGGCTAAGGTGCATACAAGCACTTTTTTCTAAGTGCCATATACTTAACCGATGATATGTCTCTGGTATTACTTGTGAAATTGCCTTAGCTATATCTAGATCTTGGTCTGTGATAATTGATATTGGTTTTTTCCTAGTTATTGCCCTTAAAAATCTCACAAAAATCCACTTAAATGATTCAGTTGTCTCCTCATATAATAAGGAAGCACCAAAAATCACCATTTGCCTGTGATTATTCATTCCAACAAACAATGCGAAAGGCCTATAATTTTTGTTTGTCCTATATGTAGTGTCAAAGGACACAATGTCCCCATAAACATCAAAGTCTATCTTCATTTTTGCATCAACTCATAGTATGCTTGTTGTCAAGTCATTATCGTCCAACTAAATCGAAAAGTGAAAAACAGGATCTTTTGATCTTCATTTTTCAAAATAATCTAGTATGCTACTTGCTTCCCCCCACCTTAGATCATTTTTCCATTTGTCACGAAGATAGTTCTTATGATCAGTGATAGTATAACCAAGATTAGCTCGACCACCATCTTGTCGAATTGCAACCTCAAAAGCAGATTTAGGACATATTCCAGAATCATCTGCTAAGTCAATTTGATGTGCATGAACCGTATTTATCTTCCTTTGTGATAACAATATGTGAACAACTGACATAGGAACAAGAAGATGATTATGCCTCGCTTCAAAGGAAGTAACACAAAATTTTCCATTTGATTGACCACTAATAACAATGGGAGCTAAACAAGCAGTTCTAGTCTCCTTTCTGTGCTTCTTCACCATGGAATTTCGCTTGTCATTCCCTCTAAAACCTTACTTATAACAAGTTAACTTTTTAGATGTAACATAACCATGGACTTTATTCTTGTTCACATACTCCTTCCGAATACTAAAACCAATGGCTCCAGCACTCTCATTGTAATATGGAAATGATTCATCATCATAATCAAATTCCAACCCAAGTTTCATTGGCACATCAGGCTTAGAATGTGGCACATCAACAAAGTTGTCTTCACATTCATTGACCATAGCTTCCATAAATCTGTTATTATTAATTATATGAAACAAATGTCCACACCCAAAGTATAGATAAAAAAAACCATCATTTAGTCAATTAAACAAACAGTTCATGGGCATGAGAGATATGCAATTTATAATTGTGTATCACATCCAAAGAAAAAAAAAGAGAAATAAGATAATGAACATGAAGAATGGGAAGAAGGAAGAATACCTAATTGATCAACCAACAAAGTGTTTTGTGTAAATAAGAGAGATTATATATGAGAAACACACACCTTGCTCTTGAGTAGTGAGGGTAGAACTGGAACAAAATAAAATTCAAGATAAATTGGCTGAAAATTGAAAGAAATTTCAGCGCCAAAAATTGATGCTCGAATTCCCTCCATTATGGCTTAAACATAGACAATAAAAGCAGTGCAATTTAACATGTATAGTTAGTTATCTCAATGAATGTCTCTAGTTGTACAATCAACTATGGTTTAAGCAGTGTGGTTGCTTTGTAGAAATCTAGACTGTTGGATTAAATTTAGACACGTGTCATTCATTTATTTGTGTATTAAGTAAAATTGAAGGGAAGAGGTAATGGAGAAGATTTGGATCCGATTATCAAGAGACCAACAAAAAACAATCTTGTGTACTTATGACAACAAAAATTGAAGAGAATATTGTATATATAAAAAAAAAATGTTCAGATTAAAGTTTTAAGATAAAGTCATTCGATTAAAGTCGTCAATTAAAAAGTGAAAGGCTAAAAATAATAATAATGAAGAAACAAACTAAATGAAAACAAAAAAAATAATAAAATATTAACCAATAAGGAAAAAAAGAATAAAAATAGCGTAACAAGAAGAGAAACACATGTCAAAAATAATAATAATATGGCAAAATAAAGAAAAATGGGATCACGCATGGCAGCCATGAAAAGAAAATTGAGATGCACATGATGGTGATCAAGAATAATACAAACAATAACTAAAAATAAGGAATGAAAAATTGTGATGATAAAAACGAAAAAATAAAAACAAATTAAGAAGCTTTTGACAATTAGAGAAGAAGAACTAAACAGTCCTTAAGGACAACTTGGAAAGCATTTACATGATTAAAAAAATAAAATTAAAAAAAATTAATTGAATAAAAAAAAATTTTAAAAAAATCATAAATTAAAAATTTTAAAAATATACAAATAAAAGCATACCTGTCACACCTGATTGATTGAGTCTTTGACATGCATAGTCAATTGCAAGGCTTGGTTAAGAATTAAAGTATCCATATGATCAAATATATATAGGTCTCATAAATTGTAATTGAATCTAAAAAGGACTTATTTTAGTCACATGTCAAAATTTTAGCTATATTTTGGGACCATGTGTGTAAATAAATAGAAATTGGCTACTTTGACACCTAGATAAAATTCTTAGTTCAAAGTCACATAGGAAAAGTTACTCAAAATATTTTTTTTTTGGGCGCAATAACATTCGAGTTAAGATTCTAGAGATAATTGTCTCTATCAAATTCTCAAGAAATTACACAAATCAAAGTAGTAGTCAATAAACTGTGTCTTGATCAAAAGCAATCAAGAAACAAGTTATGACCAAAAATACAAAAAAGGAAATATATAGATTAAATAGAACACAGTTGTTAATATTAGAAAATTAATAAAAATAAATAATAAATAATAAAGAAGGGAACATGCATGACCAATGCGAGAAAAGAGGTGGGTTGAGTGGCAGCAACCAAGCAAGACAAGAAAATCTATATAATAAAATAGAGCTGAATTTGAATCCAGAGACAAAGAGAGGTCCAGATTGTTTTGAGACAAAACATAAACATATCTAACGGACAACGTAATCTCAATATAAAAGATGGTTCAGATCATCTCATAAATACTGATCTGATGGTCATAATTGAACTTAACTCTAATACTCTTATCTCTCATACAACTCTCTCTCTCTCTTATCGCTTAGATGTTTTAAATACACTATTTCATCTCCTCTCTATCTCTATATCTATATAATAAAGTAGCTAGATATTTGTCTTTAGCTTTTCGCGGCTCAGATCGTTTTGATCTGATGGTCCTAATTAGATTTTTATTATTTTTACAACTCTAAGTCTCTCATATAATTCTCTTTATCTATCTATATATCTTACACTCTCTCTCTCATACTATTATCTTTTTTTTTTTCTCTTGTGTTATTTTTGCTATTATTTACTCCATAAAACATATGAAACTACATGTCATCCAATTATTTTTTTCTTGAAACTAATTCAAAGTTTTTATATATCTGACCGTATGTATTTTTTCATTTGCTTCTTAATTTGTAAATAACACTGAATGTAAATAAAAAAATAGCACATTGACTATAAACACCAAATAATATTTAACATAAAATGAACCTTAGATTGTAAATTAATATATATTTTTATCAAAAATTGCTTAATTTTCTCTAATTTATATTCGACTTTATCAAAGTAATATAAAATTAATATTAAAATTTATTTAATCAATTTTTTGGTGTACTAAATTATATCAATTTTTTGAGTACTAAATCAAAATTTATTTTATTTTTTTAAAATTTTTAATTTTCTTGGTACTAAATTTGGAGAAAGACAATTGTAAAAATAATAAAGTTTTTTAGGATAAAATTATCAATTTTTGTTTGCATCATTGACAAAAGGGAGACAGAGAGGTCTCCGTGCAATGAATAACAAACCTCAGGGGCTCTCCGTGTTATTTATAAAATATCAGGAGGTGTTCATGTAATATTTTCAAAACTCAGGGAATATTCATGATTTTTAGTTTTTTACCCTATTTTTTAATTAAACATTAATATATTATTATGTTACCTTAAAAACTTAAATTATTGTATTTCTAAAAAAAAGTAATTATTGGTTATAAAGGTTTGTTGGTAACAAAAAAAGAAATGTGTGTGAGTGTATTTTTGTGTATATTTACATGTGGAGGATTGAACATTTAGTAATTAAATTTATAATTATATTGTGTTACTTGGGGTTGAATGATGATAGTGATTATAAATTCATGAGTTTATAAATGAGCAAAATTTGATTGATTTTATTTATCGTCTAAAGATTGTGAATTCATATAACGCCCCAAAAATCACATTTGACGGCATTACAATTTAAAATCATTCACATCATCAGAGCAACTAATAAAATTCATCAATAAATAAAAATGCATTCATTATATCTAATATTTACAACATCATCCCAAAAGAATTTTTTCAACCATGACAACTACATCCAAAAGAATCAAATTTAACTTGCAGCGGAATAACAAAAATATTAAACTCCAATGAGTCTCGAAAGGAATTCCCTAATCTAGTACATAGGAGAGTATAGCTTTAAGCATCTACCGTAGGATCCACATGTCCGTCGAGCGAAGCTTCCCAATGCACTTGTTCATCGACTCTGAGCTCCTCATCTAACACGTAATCTAAAAATATATTGTTTGTAGGGGGTGAGCACTAAACTCTGTAGCAACATTCCTCCCAATCTCAAACAAGGTTTAGAAAACATATAAAGCAAGTCGGTCTCATTTCGCAAATATTATATATCAATTTTGAAATAAAATAGGAACATTTCAATAGATCTCAAGTTTACTTAATAGAAATAATTAAATGAACAATAAAATATATTTCCCAACAATAAACCATTTCCAACATTTGTACATGGACACAGCCCACCATATATAATCAACCACAATGTATCTGTGTCTCAAGATTGGTGTAAGACATCGTATGAATAAACACATCGAGAATATCCTGGTCCATACACACACACCCAAATCCTCGCAAGGATATCCAACATTTAGGAAGGGCGTTACCAACACAATGGCAATAACGAATCCAAACCAGGAATAGTATACTAACCCCCAGTCTCGGTACCCGTGAACGAATAGTGATTTGGTCCTCGCAAGGCACTAACCCCACTACAAGTGGTAGGAAAAATTCAAATCTGCACGGAGTAAAAACGCATCTACCCACTCTACGATACTCGGTCAACAGCCACCCATGGTCATCCAGACATCCTCAAGAGATACAATACTCAACCATTTCTCAATAATAAATCATAAATCAAAATCCCCAAATTTTCATAAGTAGTATTCCAAGAGAACAATTTAAGAAAATATGCAAGAGATCATCACGAATACCATTTTGTGGTTCAATATAAAGCACTAAAGTTTTGAAGTCAAGAATAAAGGAAAAATCAAGAGAAAAAAACCCATGTCTCTTGAAAACTAGGGTTTGAAGATGAGAAAAAAAGAGCTTTAATGGTTACCCAACCATAACATTATTTAAAATATGGTAATAATTGCAAGAATAGCAAGAATCAAAGATTTCATAGCCTTCATACCAGATTTAGAGTCAAAAGAATACATATTTATAAGCCCTAGCCTCAATGTAAGAGAATAGGAAGAAACTCCTACCTTGGTGTTCTTGAAAAATTAGGGTTTTGATCCAATCCAATGTGCAAATTGCCTTTGATCTTGTATTTTTCCCTCTCTTTCTTCCTTTCTAAGGTTTCCTAGGGTTAGAAGTGTTGGAATGGGGCTAAATGGGACATCCTTAGGTATTTATAGTGGAAGGAAGGCCGGCTGTTCATGACTAAAAAATTTTTTAGAATTTACTAGGTGTACTAATACGTGTACTGGTTAGCTGAGGCTTCCGGAGTTCAATGTACCGGTACGCGTACCAGTACTCTTCGCTAAAAATCCCCAGATTCTACCTATTTCCTCTATTTCTCATTTCTAATCCATTCCAAACCCTTCTAACTACAACCCAAACTTTTACAACATACTTTTGTACATCAAATCTAGTTGGTAAAAGTTCTAGTACAACGATTTCATATATTTACAAGCTAAAACTAAGTTTTAACTACTATTTACTCAAAGTTTTACCATATTAAAATTTTCAAAAGAAATCATTACTTGCTCTATATATATATATATATATATATATATATATATATATATATATATATGTATGTATAACGATAAAAGT